AACAGACACTTTGTGGAATTCAGGGTAAGACCCGAGTCGTGTAGACGCTGAAGAACAGAATTGAGATTGTGGTTGTGTTCCTGTTTTGTTTTACCAAAAACGATGATGTCATCTGATATATTTCTCGCGCCCGGACATCCTTGTAAGATCCGCTGGACTATGTGTTGGTAAATTTCGGGTGCAGAGGAGACACCAAACATCAACCGGGTGTACTGATATAAACCTTTCTCGGTCGCAAAGGTTGTGATCGGTCGAGATTCCGGGTGGAGCTCGATTTGATGGTAACCCGAGCGTAGATCTAGCTTTGAGAACATGGTGGCACCTTGCAACTCTTGTAACGTTCCTTCGATGGTGGGGATTGGATGGCGTTCACGGATGATAGCAGAATTTGCTTGGCGCATGTCAACACAAACACGAATGTCACCATTGGGCTTTGGGACTGCGACAAGAGGTGATACCCAGTTGGTGGGCCCTTGGACAGGTTCGATGATACCCTGTGATTCGAGTTCATCAATCTTGGCTTGAACTGCCTTGCGAATATGGAAAGGAATTCTACGTGGCGGCTGTGCGACAGGGGTTACGGAAGGATCAATATGGAGCTGAAGTTGGTAGTCATTCAGTTTCCCAATCCCAGTAAAAACATGGGGGTATTTGGTTGCCAATGCTTGGTGATGAACGTTCCCCCCTCAGAAATGTTCTGTATCGGGCGAAATGTCTCATAGTCCTGAAACAACTTGAGATCAGTTGCAGTGGTGTGTCCCAACAGAGAACCTGAATTTTCATTTTCGACAACAATGAATACAGCATTTGTAACTTTGTCTTTATATGAGATTTGAGACGAAAAGGACCCTTGCACAGCCAGCGGTGTAGACGACCCATACGGAAATAGCTTGATATTTGTTGGAGACAAAGGAATTGGGTTGCTCGTAGTCAGTTTGGAAAATGTTGCGTTATCAAGTACATTAACAGTTGCACCTGAATCAACAATAAGATTGACGTGAGAATCTCCAATTTTTACCGTGGCCCGGGGCATTGTCTTTGTGGGCCCAATCTCGAAGACGTATTCATCATCCGATATATTTTCCCCGGGAGCCGGAAATGGCGCCCCGGAAACATACCGTATATTTCCACGACTTCCGGTGTTCGCATTGTATTTATTTTCATTCTGTTGCCTTTCGTACGCGTTTGTATGTTGTGTATTTTGCCGACTGTTTCCTTGTCTGTTTGCCGATCGTGGTTGACGACACACTCGAGCAAAATGTCCCAACTTGTGGCAGTTGTTACACGACACACCTGTTGCAGGACAGCGAGAATCTTTAGCGCGATGGCCCGAATTTCCACAACAATAACAAACGATATTTTGATTGTCCGTACTCCCCGTAGGATTTGTCGTCCGAGAACGTGTTGGTCTGTTTTGAGACTGGATTGCATTTACAGTGAGGTCTGTACCAGAGGTATTTAAACTGTCTGCTTCGATTTGTGACGCCTGTCTTTCGGATGCTTCAAACGAACGACCGAGTTCGATAGTTTTCGCGAGAGTGAGCTCCGTTTCGCGAAGTAATCGTCGTCTTAAATGAGCCGATAAACATTGTTCGATGATTTGGTCTCGAATTATGTCATCAGGGTTACTATAATCGCAGAATTGAACTTGATGTTTCAACCGAATCGCATACTGTTCGATAGTTTCGCCTTGCAGTTGTTTTGTTTGCCGGAAATTATGGCGCTCGAAAGGAATGTTCTTTTGTGGTTCGAAGTATTCAGTCAACTTACGTAGAGCCGTGTCGAGGTCAGTGCCAGTTTCTTGTAGGGCGTTTCGAATATGTCTTGAACTTCAGTTCCGGCCAGATGTAGAAGAATTGCACGTTGTTGTTTCTTGTCGGTAATTCCTGATGCTGCAATGTAATACTCAAACGATTTTACCCATTTTCGCCAACGTTGACTTATCGTCGCTGTTTCACCCAAACTAAATGCCGGTATTTTCGGTAAATCAAGCACTTTCGCCATTTAGGATATCTGTATATGCTCTCTGGTTCGTCTTATGTATTTTTTTTTACCTCGTCGCCAGTTATAGTATCGTTGGTAACCAATAATATAAAACAATAAAAGATATATTTTCACTCTGACTTATACTACCATGCTTTTCTTTTTTTCCCCTCTCTCCCCCAACTCCCATGCGTTCTCCCTTCATCCCTTATCCATAGGTGTCCCTCACCGTCCATAACTTCAACATATATACTATTGTTAGTATAACCTTAACAGCACAAACACTATAGGTACTTTTTTACAGCTTTTACCAGGTGTATAAAAAGAAAGGCACCCACTATAAATATTCATAAATACTCAATCTGTTTTCTTCCACTCTTTATGGTGTATAAAATAACTGCAACCACTTAAGGCCAGGTTACATTGTGCAATTTTTCTTGCAACTTGTAATGGAATCCTACTTTTAAGAGACTAGCATCAAGTATTCACAATATAAGTGTAAGAAATGAACATGGAGTGTAATAAACATGAAAGTTTTGTAGTTGCCAAATCTCTCAAAAGTAGAATTGTATTGCAAGTTGCTAGAAGAATTGTTAGTATTCATATATGTTTGCTTCTATTTAATAACAAGAGGTTGTAGGCCCCTGGGAATTATTGAGGCTGCATTTTTATATTCACCCTGTATTTGTGAAGTTTAGTTGACTGGAAACTAGGTTTACAAAGTGTAAATTTATCTAGTGTAAAGTTTCTAAATGTAAGATTTTTTATGCCAAGAGGTTTGATTAAAGTGTAATATAGTAGCACTAAAGTCAGGTGAAATTAAGCAAGATCAAAAAGTGTGTTATGTAGATTCCTTGTTTGGATTTTTGGTGACTATCTTAACCATTGAGGATAAAAAGACATCTGTGGTTTCATTTTAATAAAATTCATATCAATAGTAATGAAGGTATAAGGTGCATTTGTAATACCAAACGTTAAGGCTGTGTAAAATATTTTCTGAGGCTAAAATATAATGATAATTCCTGAAGTTGCGGAGGCCAACTTCTAAGGATTTCCATCATCCCCAGGGTCACCAAAGTGTTGCTGCAGGGTAACATAAGTGCACATGCACAACTGCAATCAAAGTTAGATTTAAGAGGAAGTAATTTTTTGAAAGTAAACTGCCCATATCCTTTGATGAAACCATATTTTACCATACAGCTTTGGTTGAAACCATATTTTACTCACGGATATCTCGCACAATATTTTACTCCCAACATGGATTGCAAGCATGCATGATCTCCCGCAAGTAGTAAATAATGTGATATTTTCATTTTTTCATGATATTTCTTGGATTTTTTCCTTAGGAATCTGGATTCATTTTCACTGTGTTAACTATGTTCCAAATTGAATGATGTCTTTGCTTTGCTATTGAATGGGAAGGTAAGGGATTGTGGTTTATATTACACAATCATTTTGCGTCTCCAGTTTCTGTTCATTCATTTAATAACTATATCAGCAGATGTGCATATATAAATATCTTTATTATATTAAATGCTCATTTTATGAAGTGGAAAAGGGAACACTAGTGTATAATCCCAAAAAAGGGAGATCACTAACCACTAAGGGCTGAAAATTTGTATTGGGGGATGTGCTGAGATTTGGAGGAAGTTTTAGAAAAAGTAGTTAACCAAAATATAAATTTTGAGCTTTTGTAAAAGGTAAAGTTGACTGAAAGAAACTATTTTCACCTTGAGTGGTAAGGGGCAATGTTTGAAGTTGATCAAAATGCTTTAATTGTTATTCATCAGAAAAGCAGAGATGAAAACTTAATTTGGTAAAATAGTCAAACACATAGTGGATGATCTTTGAATAATATATAGATATATAATATGTTTCATTTTGGATATTTTGGATATTTTTATTATTTATAAAAGTTAGTTAATATCACATGACATCCCTTAATTCGTTTGCCACGCCCTGGTTTTCAGGAACTCACAAAGGTACAACATGATAAACAAACACGGCAGAAATTGGTGTTTATGAAATTTTAACACGAAAATCTAATCACTGGTTCAGTATTGCGCATTTTTGTATCACTATCATAGAGAATAAGTGAAATTTTGAAATACGCCTTCCGCAATCTTTTGACAGCTCATATCATGCACATCTGACAGCTGTGAAATTTCCATTTTGAGGCTTAAATTATACACAAGGGGCCGTTTGTATGAAAGCCGGATGGCGCTATCCATCTGATAGTTATTCATTTAATCGCTTTAAAATCAGCCATTTTTTGCTTCGATTAAATCTTAGTGTTCCTAAATCGAGGAATTTTATCGCTTTTCGAGCAGTTTTAGAACGGTTTAAAAATTCACTATCCAGTGAATAGCGCTATCCAGTTTTCATACATACTTTTTTTTGGCCTGAGTAATTAGGCTGAACATTGACTAGGAATGTTCATAAGCGGTGCCTAATCTCATAAAAAACTGGCTTGAAAACGCAAAACAGACCTTGCTTTGCGCAATTTTTTTACCTCCATATATTTTAAATTCCTTGCATATTATATATGCTAAATAATTTTAAAGACCTCTCATGGAAAAAAAATATTGATGTAAAAAAATATTTTTTTTGAGAATTATGAAGAATGCCCCCTCTAGAGCAAGGTTCTTCATCGTTTAACAGCGGGAGGCACCGCAATGCATTGCGGACCGTGCGCGTCTCTTTCTTGTCTGTCTTAACGTATCATCAGGAAACGAAGCAGAGGAATATTTCGAAAGGATTTCCTTTTTGTGCTAAGAAAGATTAGTAAATTGATTTTACTGTTGCTTATGCACCAAGTAACAAGAGCACAGGAGCATAGCATTTATTATTAAGCGTATTCTGTGCATTAAATGTTTATTTACATGTCGCATCGTGCAACTTCTGTGACGCATGAATTTATTCGTAGTGGCTTGTATTATGTGATGGTAAAATATGTTGTTTTATATATATATATATATATTAATATATATATATATATATATACACTGTTAATTTCGGGGAGTAATTTTAACTCCACCGTAGGAGTTGAAATAACTCCCGTTTGAGGAGTAGAAATAATGGAGTATATTTCACTCGAAAACCAGAGTTAAATCTACTCCACTTCAGTTCATATTTAAACGTTTACTCCACTAGGAGTAAATATTACTCCACTGTAGGAATAAAATATACTCCAGTAAAGGAGTACAAATATTGGAATACTTTTTACTCCTTTATTTTTACTCCAGGAGTAAATTTAACTCCAGTTTTGCTACTCTGGGAGTTAATTCAACTCTCATAAAGGAGTAAAATGTACTCTTGAAAAGGGATACACATATTAGAGTAATTATTGTATAATTTACTCCTATATTTTCACTCCAAAAAAGGAGTAAATCTACGAGAGTAAATAATTTATTTTTGGGAGTCAAAACAACTCTAGTCAAAATATCTCGAAAAGATACAACCTGTTTGTATGTTCTGGGACAACCATCGAGACCACAAACCACATGGAAACTTGGGTCATTTGAATGGCTTCTACGTAGGTGATCTAGGAGTTCCGTTAAAGACACAGTGAGGTAACCAACACACATGCTACAACGATAAACCATTTTTCATTGGTCGGATAAAAATAAAACTACATTATTGGTTTTGTAAAGGACATTTTTACACTTTTGCAATATATTTTTATAAAAAATATACCATGTTTCTTCATAAACTTCATAAACAGTGTTTCCACGCAAATTTTCCTTCTATATTCTCAAACTTCTGCATTTTCCTTGCTACGTCATCATTGCAAGATATTGGTCATCCAATCATGTGCTTCTTTGACGATCACGTGACAATGCTAATAAGAATAGCGCGCGTCGGTTTCAAAATTCTTTTCTCCCTCGTGCTCGCGAAAGATCCTAAGTCTTGAAATTATCATTTTAAAATACTGTATTTATACTGTGTAAAGCATATTTCAGAGACCAGATACAGAGAATGGACTCATTTTTAGAGGTACTGCAAAGATTATTTTATTTAAATGGGGAAGGATTGGTGGCAAGAGAATAAAAAAGATGCCAAGCCACTCGACCGCGCGTCTACGATCTTGAATTTATGCATGAATTTCTTAATAGTTTTCTTAATTCAACGACATTTTATTCGTTTTAGGAGACATCAATGGGCCTAGAATTGTCGGAGTTTTTGTTGAGTGCCGGAGTCAGCCAACAGGTACTGGACAAACTAACAGAAGACGAGGTAAATATCGATCACAAATTATATACAATAGTCATTAGTCAATACATCCACTGCCAGTTGGCGACAATGCGGTAGTCTGTCAGACTGTCACAGTCTTGATTAAATGTTTCATTTGTGCTGGATTTTGGGCGCACAATGCATTGTGGTTTACCATTGACTTTTTTTTATTCTACACTAAATGTGGCAGTCTGTCACAGTCTTGATTAAATGTTTTATTTGTGCTGGAAAGCTATAGCATACATGTCAACTATGTAGCAAAATTAATGTCAGTTAATAGTTACAATTTTTATAAAATATGGCTGTTTTATTTTCATAGCTCAATACAGTTGAGTTGCTTGAAGGAGTTAGTGATGTCTTGCTGAAAGAATTGGGTATCAAAGGAGGGCAGATTGTGAAATTAAGGATTGCTATCCAAAAATATAAAAATCAGGTAGGTTATAATTTTTCTGTATATCTTGTGCAGTGCACTCAGGTGAATAATATGATTGTGTTGTTACTCTGAGGGTATATATCCACACCGGGCAAGCTTGAAAAATATGCCTGACCATGGTGGGGCTAGAACCTACGACCTTTGGAATACTAGTCCAATGCTCTGCTAACTGAGCTACGCGGTCAAATATGGCCTAAATATTCTAAAATATGGCCTGCTTTGGCCATTGAGAGCCCTGCTTGGTGGTCAACACCGTTCAAGTAAATTGAGCAAGTCAGTTTTTAAGGTATAAAATCCCTGCTTTTGTAAATGGTTTGTTAAATCTGCTTTTTTACAATATATTTTTTGTAGGTTGATCCTGGAAGCTGCTATGATGCAGAGAACTAAGGAGGCTAAGAAAAGAGTGGCAATAAACAAATTTCTTCAGCAACTGGAATGACATTTACACATGAATAAGCCATTGTATATAGGTAATTATAAATAAACTATAAGTATTAATATAGGTGATTGCATGTACTATTTTATAGCATTATAACCATCCTAAATACCTGATTCCAGCAATATTGCCTCCCGTGGTAATATTAAACGAAGTAGCTATGTTTACGGCTCCGTAAACGGACTTCGCTACTCTAGCGCTAAATAACTCGCGGGCAATTCGATTTTATTTTATACCTAAAGCTTGCGGACCTGTTCTCGCCAGATAAACTCGTGTAGATATTCGGGCAACATGTCTCAGTTCTCACACCTTTAGCGTATTTTTAATTTCAACTTGTGCCTATTCCAGTATTTATAAGACTTGATGTTTTGATGTTTTGTAACTGGCCATGATCTTTATATGAAATTGTTTCGGTTTTTTGAATTTGAACGATCAAGAAATATTCGGATTGAAACACGGCAATAGACGCGAGGTGTCATAAAAAATCCTATTGCGAAACCAATACATACTAACGCACTAAGCTTCTTTATCTGGAATGAAGTATGTATAAAAACCTTGTTTGATACATTCTAGAGTAAGATTTCGCTGTACTTATTCCTGTACAGCCTACTGCTGTCAATGTGAATACGGTACTGCGCAAACTGTATTTATACAGTGAAATACTCATTGACTGCCTTCATATGCTGCTAAACCTGAACCATAGACTGCCTTTATATATTACACTGCTGTGGATATAGGCTAACTTACTAAAACTAAATAAAATAGTGTTAATATGAAATGTGTTGTGAGACAGAAAAATGTGATATGGTTTTTTTAAATGATATGGTCTTAGGCTAGATATAACTGTGTATTTGCATAGAAAATAGTGTTGTTTGATAGCATATAACATACTGTGTTAGTAGAAAATAATGTGGTGCTAGACAGCCTAATATAAATAGCATAAAATGATATGTGGGCTTGGACGGTATAATATTGTTAGAAAGACTTTATTTTCTCTATACGCGAGGTAGGAGATCTTTACAATAATTCAACTAATGTTCGTTACTGTTCTCTTCTTTCTCCGTTCTTCTCTTCTCTACTTCTCGATCTTCGTCGTTTTGCGTTCTTGTCTTTGGTCGTCTGTCCTGTAGGTTGAGCTTCTTAACGTTTCATAAGTTAATCTTTACTCCGCTAGTCCACTGAAGGTCCAGGTGCTGTGCACGCCCTTTTATAATGAGGGTTCAGTGACTCTTGCATACGTCATCAACCATAGTGGGCTGATCCTTATCCAGCCAATCAGCGTTGTACATGTAATCAGTGGGTTGGTCTTAGAAGCTCGCTCCAGCTCTCATATTTTGTTTATTTAAGGCGTTGTCGCAGTGGTCGAGTTGATCTTCTGCTCAATCGATCGATGCTTAAAAATGTCCACAACTCAAAACATCCACCACCAACATGCATTAAAACTATCAAACATTGTTTCTGTGAACCTTATTTTATAACTTAACTATTTATACTACTACTTTAATCGATTTAAACTTTCTCTGACGTAACCCATAAAATGCTCGACCGCGCATTATTTTTTACACAATCGACTGACATACGAACTTTGCAGCTGCCTAAGGCATCCTGTTTTTTTTAAGATAAAATTTCGCTTCGCTTGGGCTTTTAAGGTATGTAAACTTTACATGTTTACCCAAACCCACTGTTTACCTAAAAACGACAGATCGGTCAAACTGATGGACACTAAGATTAATACTACATTAATTATTTACTCAAACTGTCAAGCTTGCAGAAGGAAAAATAATTGATATTTGCGAAAGGCCAAAATTATATTTACCCATGCATTTTGTGGCAATAATCAATTACTCATCCATGCACGGCAGGTGATATTTCCTATTTTTATACTATTTTTGTATGCATATAACTAAACATAATAAAGCCTTGCGTAACAATCCTCCTCACCTAGAATAAGCTGTCCCCAGCTTCGTGTGAGCTATAACGACTTAAGTTAACTAAATACCATACATATATGTCTCTACAATTTCCCAACTATTTTTCTTAGCTCGGCGTGGCTATCACGGGCATATTACCAAATGCCTAATAACTGAGACTATACACATAGCACGTGTTGTTTTAATCTATGACAACACTACATAATCGATTATACGAGATACAACTGATCTGAATATAATTTACTTATGCCTATATGTACCTCAGGGGTAATCTAGCTATAATAATGTTATATAATCCAACACGTCAGAATATAGCGATTTAAACCAAAATTAATGTGAAAACAAGGCGTAAAAATTTCCTGTTTTCCTGAATGTATGTACCAGGGACTTAAACGAAATTATACATTTTGTAGATGCAATCAGAAAGTGTACCAAAAATTATTCAAATTTCATAAAATATCTTATCATTGCAACAGCGAAAATTGTATTCAGATTCTTGGTTGATCAACTCACATAACAGGAAATTATTATAAAGCTCTTCCGACAAAACATCTCTCCATAATAATAACCTAAACCTATTTATATACGTCTTAATAATTCTTCAAAATATTTCAACTCATGCAAACAAATTTTATACGTATACTTCTTAATATTACTGAAACTCATTTTATATTTTTAAACGTCATGCACAGCAAACCAAACTCCAAAATGTAGGTTTTCATCGACAATATAAATACCGAGTCTACATAGAGAAAACAAGAATGTGTCTAATATTTAAGCTTTTGGCTTGAAAAAGAATTACAATCCATTACAACAAGTTTGGGAGACCCTTGACTGTCCCGAGGGAAGAGAAAAATATATTATCAACGAATGACGCAAAACTAAAAGCGTGAGAATTAAATTTATATACTGACCCAATTAAAAACATGCATGCGCTATCCTACGGCAACATGTTTAATCAGCATGCTGAGTGTACCTAAGGAATTTTAGTTGAACAGCTATATACTCTCGTGTTTAATATTATCGCACATATAAACAAACAAATGATAAACATATACGTGTAACATGAGAATGACAAAAACTTATATTATACAAATCTTAAAATGCGTCCAGTTTCATGTCCATAATACAAGCGTTCTGACCATCAGGAAGGATCCGGAAATCTATGAGACTTTCTTACGTCTCAATAATCGTATTTCAACGACCACGGAGGCTTCCACTGATGCGTCTTTAGCTGGATTTGTGGCATAGCCAACACGTTCGTATAGAGGGAGTACATGTCGTCAAACTCGTCTTGGACTGCAGACTGAGGGCAAAACGACTGTAGTTTCAATTCAAGTTCATGGAAAGTGTAGAGGTTGTGGACAGCTGTCTTGAAGAGACATCCAAAACGTGAAACAAGGTCTAGCGTTGCCATAAGCAGAAGTATTGATGAATACAGAGCGTGCGTTTTATTGGACCCGGTCATCATGCCGTTCCTTCAATGTTAATATAGTACACAGACGAGGTATTCCTAGAGCCGTTCCTCCACCAAGTTGTTATAAGATTTTAATTCTTCTATGCACGAGGTAGGAGATCTTTACAATAATTCAACTAATGTTCGTTACTGTTCTCTTCTTTCTCCGTTCTTCTCTTCTCTACTTCTCGATCTTCGTCGTTTTGCGTTCTTGTCTTTGGTCGTCTGTCCTGTAGGTTGAGCTTCTTAACGTTTCATAAGTTAATCTTTACTCCGCTAGTCCACTGAAGGTTCAGGTGCTGTGCACGCCCTTTTATAATGAGGGTTCAGTGACTCTTGCATACGTCATCAACCATAGTGGGCTGATCCTTATCCAGCCAATCAGCGTTGTACATGTAATCAGTGGGTTGGTCTTAGAAGCTCGCTCCAGCTCTCATATTTTGTTTATTTAAGGCGTTGTCGCAGTGGTCGAGTTGATCTTCTGCTCAATCGATCGATGCTTAAAAATGTCCACAACTCAAAACATCCACCACCAACATGCATTAAAACTATCAAACATTGTTTCTGTGAACCTTATTTTATAACTTAACTATTTATACTACTACTTTAATCGATTTAAACTTTCTCTGACGTAACCCATAAAATGCTCGACCGCGCATTATTTTTTACACAATCGACTGACATACGAACTTTGCAGCTGCCTAAGGCATCCTGTTTTTTTTTAAGATAAAATTTCGCTTCGCTTGGGCTTTTAAGGTATGTAAACTTTACATGTTTACCCAAACCCACTGTTTACCTAAAAACGACAGATCGGTCAAACTGATGGACACTAAGATTAATACTACATTAATTATTTACTCAAACTGTCAAGCTTGCAGAAGGAAAAATAATTGATATTTGCGAAAGGCCAAAATTATATTTACCCATGCATTTTGTGGCAATAATCAATTACTCATCCATGCACGGCAGGTGATATTTCCTATTTTTATACTATTTTTGTATGCATATAACTAAACATAATAAAGCCTTGCGTAACAATATGATGTCTAAATTGACTGCCTTTCAATGCTGTACTATGATCGACTTACACTGTCTTACACACATATACCATGACTTACACTGTCTTACACACATATACCATGACTTACACTGTCTTACACACATATACCATGACTTACACTGTCTTACACACATATACCATGACTTACACTGTCTTACACATATACCATGACTTACACTGTCTTACAGAGCTCCTGAGTGATACCGTAGAGCTAATACCGTACATTGCTCTACCATAGATTAACCTAAATGATCTGCCATGACCTTATTTGCACTGTTTTACCATACACTGCCTTGCATTTCTATCTATCTGAGTCGCTGTATACTGCTGTTAAACTGAATAAAACAATTTCCTCCCATACAATATTGGTATTTGATAGCATAATATGAGTTAGTATAAATTAATGTGGTGCTAATTGACAGCATAACTTAATGCATAATTATTTGATAATATGTTGCTAAACAGCATAATATAACTAGTTTGGATAAACTAGCTATTAATGTATATCTTACAAAAGATTCACTCATTTCAACCTATCATCTTAAATCACTGGAGGTATACCAAAGTGCTACCGACCAAAATACTTG